CGGACTTCCTCGCCGACGACCACTGTATCACTCGGTGACAGTTGTAGACCTTTCCGGTTTGTTTGACTGCGACGATACAGATTTGATTCGACAAATAGACGCCTGCCTTTTGCGCTTAATCCTTGTTGCGGCTGCAGCGGTTCTTGATTGTGAAGGGGACGGTGGTCACAGTGCGCTGATGATGATCGAAATTATACTGGTGTTGTTACTTACGATCATGGTAACCTTTCGACTTCGCAGCGGCGCTTCGGCGTTATACTCGAGCGCGGAGGCATTTGTAAACACGAAGTTTCCCATAAGCCACTTTTAAGGGTCAAAGCGGTCAGCTGCACCAGGCAAACAAAAAGGTAAGAGCGCCTTACTAAAATACCGATGCACGCCCTAGCGCTAATTAATGTTTTACTGTTGCAGTTCTGCGATAGTCCAAGGGAGACTTTTGACAAGTATTGCGTTGGCTAAAAGGTTGAACGTGATGAACGTTTATTAAAATCTAAATGCGGTTTGTTGAAGCCATTTCCGACTTGACCTTAAGGGATTAACAGTGAAGACATTTAGCCATGTCACAACAATACTCTAATATGTTATTTGTGTTTTCTTACACAACTCAACACCCTCGCACTTTTCGAAGACATCTGTTGGGCATTAGTTTATGTACGCTCGCCTAAGATGCACAATTATTATCATTGTGATAGAAATATTATAATTTTATCCATTTGCTTTTATCCCTAAAACGTAATCTGGCAAAAGTCGAAAATGTTTTACAATGAAAATGACCCAATGTCCGAGGCGAATTTCGTTTGTGGCACCATTTGTTTTTCTTTGTCTCCCGTGAGATCAACATTGATTTAGTCTTGAAAAAAAAATATGCTCCATTGACAAAAAGAGACAATTAAACACTTGCCGTTTTTGGGGTCATGTTGGTATTAGGATGAACACGGACTCGCTCTCTCCAGACTTAACTACTATCTTATCGTAGCAGCTATCGACGCTACGCCATCCGAAACCGCTTAAACCGTTAACTGTCAGCGCATAGCCCAGCTGCCACTGAAGTCCCCCCCTGTGCTACCGCTGCGCGAACCGGCGGCAAACACTAACAATAACAACAGCTGCCACGTCGTCGACTTACTTGTCTGCTATGTTTGCCAGGGTTGCGTAAAAACCTTCAAGTCGAAGCATTGTTTCAAGCTCGAGCGCACAGTGAAAGACACATGGACGCTTCATAGACAGACGGATAGACAAAAATAGACGACAAACACACACACGAAGTGAGACATGCGCGGAGCGATACATGCGCGGAGCGATACAATCGATTCGCGACTAACTATATGACATAGTAGGGGTGACAAGACTTGAACAAAACCCGTAGACCCTGTAGTGATAACGGCATCGTCCTTTCGCGGCCCCGAATCATCATCGTCGTGGTCGTGGCGGTACGATGAAGAAAACGTCCGTCAGTCGACGAAGTCGTACAATATCGCAGGTAGAAGCCATTCAATCTGCATCTTTTGCCGACATGGCCTCCTACAGCGGTCCAATTTGGCAACTCCTACGTTTGCTTGTTCGCTTCGGAGTAGCAGCTGCTGCAACTGCTGTTCAACGCAGAGCGGCCTGTTGCCATCCGTGTCGCTCTGTCACTCCATCAACGACCCTCTTATTTTTCTCCCCCGCTTACCACCAATAGCTCTATATCAATGCTAAGGAAGAACGCCAGGGTCTACTGCAGACGTTACTGTATAACAATTATATAAAAGCGACTTTGTAATGGCATCGGTGACAGCGATAACGGGTTTTGCATTGGACAATATTTGCGCTTACGATGACATTCGACTTGGACATGCGATTTGCCCTCGTAGGTACCAGACTTATCAAGGCCATTGCCGAAGGAACCAGTCATAGTGCTGCATCGCTGTGGATTCGGTCAAAGTAACGGTTCATTCGACACCGTTCCAAGCCATTGCAGATGGTAGACTAGGTTCTAGATGTTGAAGCTCAAGTGGTTCCTGCATGCTGTCGCAATGTAGCAGTAATTCTCATATCGTAGTAGTAGTAGTAGTCAATAGTGATAATTGTCGGTGACAGTAAATCTGGCCTTATGTTAATCTCGCAGACAATGAAATCAAAACAATTTCGAGCTTCCGTTATAAATGCGCCTGTTAAGGCCAGGCGAGAGTACGGTTTGTCCGCAGGATTTCGTTCAGGGAAGCAGCGCAGTATGGATTGTCGGGTGGTCAAGATAAATGTTTTGTGTGCAAATGAATCGCTGATGGCGAGGAAAGTCATCAGGCAACAGAACAGGACACAATGGCTCCTGAAGATTTAATGGAGTCTGGTGTTTCGGGTAGCAACTTCGAACATAAGTATCATATTAGCACATGGTTGATTTTTATAGAGAACATCTTTGATGATATAACAGCATAAGAAGCACAACATTAGAAAGAAATGTCGAACAACTGCTAATTTATAATGCCTCAATGACTATCTAGTGAGTCGATGACGGTTTGTGTTTAAAAATATGAGAAATATTTCACTATATTAGATATATCTACATTGATGATTTAAACGCGGTTTTTTTATGCGGTAAATATTTTTGTGTAGTCCTCCTGCCCGAGCTTGTTGAAATTTAGTTATGGACACATGGCAGAGACGTATATGTAGCATGTGACACCACAGTCACTACATAACGCTAGCAATGATAAATCATATATATATATATATACGTTTCTACTTTAGCAAAACGAAATATACCATTGGATGGTATTAAGCGTGTTAATAAACTAACTTCTCAAGTGATTACTAGTATTATTGTTACTAATCAAGTTAGGTAACGCGCGAAAAACAGGGAACATTTGAAAAGTCGAATCAGGCGTCGTCTTACACATTAGTGGTTTCTTATTATAGCTTTTGCTTTTATATGCCTTTTTCAATATCGCTGTTAACTAATGATGATAAGGGAAAAGAAGGCATTCGGCCATTACGATGTCCGGTGGCTATCACCGCCTAGCCGTGAATGGGTTCGATGAGGGCGTTTTTCTTCTTTTTTTTTTTGATATCTATATATATATATACATATGTTAGTCACTTCTTACAGAATGTGTTTTAGATAGTAAAATCGCTAAAAAACAATGATACACGATCGTAGAAGATCGTAATTGCGACCCAGCCTATTCTCCAGTCCCTGCGACCGTCCGGCGAACGCCAAAAGGAAATTACCTTTCCGGCTAAAAGTGGTACCGTTTCTTTTTTGATTAGCAACTGCTCATGGAAGATATATATATATATATATATATATATATATATATATATATATATATATATATATATATATATAGCTTTTTATGGCTAAAACTAGAGTTATCTACTGAACAACATATCGGCGATTTGTTGAGTTGAAGGCATAAAGTTACTTGAGAACTTTCCGCAATAATTCTGTTCTTTCATTTGGTATCGTTCAAACACCACTGGCGCAGCGAAACACCGACACGAGAATCATTTACGTAAAGCTATAATATATAAAGTGTATTTGCAAGCGATCGAGAATTTTGACAGGACTCGATCGCTAGTCAACTTTTCTTTTTATCAGAAAGCTTGCCGATATCATAGGACGCGCCCAAAATATTTACCGTCCATCCTGATACACGTTCGATACGAAAGAAGGCAGATCTTTTTTAATTCCGGACGAAAAAATATTATGCTCAGTTAAAGCTTTCCCTAACCCCATTGATGATATTTGAGTGGCATCAAATGCAAGGGCAAAAATGACGCTTGGTCAGTTTAAATTCTTTATTGTTTTTTTCTAATCACCGCTAGTTATTTTTAGGTAGTAAAGAAAGTAGCAGACTCGTTTATTGACTCCTATGCCCTCATCCTGTTCATCGACGCAGCAGATCGTAGACAATCGTATATTTGCCCACATATTTGCCGAAGTAATATTTGCCATGTAATTTTTTTTCTCACACATTTTACTGTTTATTGCTGAAACGAAGATCAGCCTTCCGTGATAGCATTAAAAAAAGTGCTTTGTTTCGTAACTCTATCACTTCCTCAAGAGTTGACCCTAGGCCGTATGTACCAGCTATTATTATCATAACAATGTGTGTAACAATCGAAGTTCGAAATTCGGTACGTTACGTGAATTACCGTGCCAGTCGAAAACTATCCATAGCTATCAACAAGTACCAAACAGACGACATATGGATCGTGGAGGTCAACCGATGGCTGCCGCGAACACCTATGCACACAGACGTTCCTTGTATCAACGCCTTCTGCATCGACCGTTTTACGCTTGATGCAGAGAACGTTTATACTACTAACTTGGCGCCTTGCATGAAACTCTGCGAGTTCTGCAGATGAGTTCTAGGCCACTGGCGATTTTGAAGTTTGCTTGACTTAGCATGGGCGAATCAAAACGTTTGCGTAAGAGATACTGTGAAGGCCTTTATATCGTGGACAAACAATATTTCACCGTATGTAAATATATATGGTAACAGATAGTTTCGTACGGGCAGGGACCAGCGATCTCATATAATTCGTAACGGAAGCTTCCGGCGACCAGCTCAAAAGATTGCTATTGACTTGACGTAAGCTTCCTTCGTGGAAAACGCAGTCCTTATATAATGTTATTTGAGCACGAAATATTTTAACATGCCGAGGACACTGAAAACAGACAAGCATAGATATCTGTTAATTTACCCAACTAAGAGATATTTATCTGAGTGATGATTAAAGCGACAATGGTATTAGTGGTAATAGTGGCGACAATTTGTTATTAAGTAAATATTTTAGCAACACTTCTAACATCCTTAACCTCTATTAAAGCTATATGTACTGTTTCATGGTATTGGTATGTTCAAATACGCTGTATCAGCAATATCAATTCTTTAGACTTCCGTAAATTGATCTTCATAATCAGGGCAATATTCGTCTAGCGACTATTGAACTAGTCACTAACCTAGTGTTTTTGTTTTTTTTCTTTCACTTGTGTTTGTTTGTTTAATTCGTAGGCTCCAAAATAGCGCGTCCTGGGGTCCCGGGACGATGCGCGCCGTCTGCCATCGCCCTAAAAAAAACACTAAGTTATCTAAATCGTACAATAGGACATCATTATCAGAGGGAAAAGCCACTTCAGCAGCGCGTACGACATCCTCCCGGCCGGAGGTCTCATGGAAAGGCCCCAGAGAGCTATCGCACGCTATTCATTATCGAACACGAGAGTCATGGACCCTTTCGGTGGCCAACAGAACTTACAGCAACACGACCATTACCACTACGCATCGCTGGTTATGGCTTATTCTAGTGGTGTGTTGTGGTCCTCCGAGTGCCGCGACCATTGCGGCGGCCTCCGGAAACTTTTACAGAGCAGAAGCAAAAGTGATCCCGTTAGACGTGGCCTCATCAAGTTTACGACAG